GAGGAACTCTATTTATTTTTTCAAAGTTGTTGAGTCTTTGTTTAAAGGAGCTTTGTTTATTTTTCCAAAGTCGTTGAGCCTTTTGTTTAGAAAAGCTTTGTTTTTTCAAAGTCGTTAAGCCTTTGTTTAAAGGAGCTTAACTTTAATTTTTCCAAAGTCGTTCAGCCTCTGTTTAGAGGAGCCATTTATTTTTCCAAATTCATTGAATCTCTGTTTAGAGAAGCTTTGTTTATTTTTTCAAAGTCGTTGAGCTTCTATTTAAAGGAGCTTTTATCAAAATTTTAACAAAAAAAAAAAAACAGAAAAACAAGCAAAAAAAATGTCGAGTTGAGTCTTGAATGGGCGTCTACGTCTTTGCACAATTCTTATTTCACAAAAAATGCGTAAAAAGGGGCAGCTGTACACACCTAATTTGGTCTAAGCCCAGATCAATTGAGCCTAGTCCAAATAGGTAAGATAGGCCCATTTTCATTTTCATTTTCATTTTCATTTTTATTTTTATTTTATTTTTTTTCTAAATTAGAATTATTTGGTATTCCTTAATTTTTTTAATTTTAATATTTATTTTATTTTTTTTTGAATGATTTTCCTAAAATAAAATTTTCAAAAAAATTTTTTTAAGGAAAAGTTGAAAGTATCAATTTTTCAAAAATAAAATTTCTAAAAAATAAAAATTTCTAAAAATATTTTTGAGGAAAAGTTAAAAGTATCAATTTTCCTTTAAATAAAATTTTTAAAAAATAAAAATTTTTAAAAAATATTTTTGAGAAAAAATTGAAAGTATCAATGTTCCTTAAAAATAAAATTTTTAAAAAATAAAAATTTCTAAAAGATATTTTTGAGAAAAAGTTGAAAGTATCAATTTTTCTTAAAAATAAAATTTCTAAAAAATAAAAATTTTTAAAAGATATTTTTAAGAAAAAGTTAAAAATATCAATTTTTCTTAAAGTAAAAATCTCCAACTGTTTTAAGGAAAAATTGAAAGTATCAATTTTTCTTGTACAAAAGCAATGAGTTTTTTTATAAAATAAAAAAGAAAAAGATTTATATCAAAAGCTGAATCATTATTCTTTTTTTGTTTTATTTTATTTTATTTTATTTTTTCCTTTCTTTTCTTGAAATTTTTTTAATGTTAAATAATCCGACGATGGACTCTCTGCAAGTGAAACAGTAATTTTCTTGCATACTCTTGAGGTGAAGGGATTTTTCTTAACTTTTTGCCAAAAATATTGGAGTTAATTAAGAATAATTTTCAATAATTAATTACTTGGTAAAATTTTTAAGGCTTATTGGATAACACGAAATTAAGCTAGTACCATCTTTCGATGGGCGTTGTAAGGGTGCTATAACCTTCCTCACTTGTAACCAATCTCCAAAACCATGTTCTGGTTTATAGACCCAAACATATTCTTTTAGGGACCCTTAAGCTTAGGTGTTTCTTGAAAGGATAAATTCCTTAGGTGGCTAATCGCACCTAAACAAAAAAGATTGGTGGCGACTCCTTAAGTCAATGTCAAGCGATAGATCTCTAAATCTAGACGTTATGACAACTATAACTAATTTATTTTATTGTGCAAAATTAATCATTTTAAGATAGAACAAATCAATTATTTTAGAACTCCCATTAAATATAAAGTTTTAAGATAGAACAAATCAATTTTCTTAGAACTTCCACTAAATATAAATTACCAACATATAATCAATAACATATTTATTGATTTCACAAAAGCAAGTCTTACAAAAACACAATTCAAATCCATAAACATGTTCATAATAAAAATATATATATGCATACCGAATGTTAATTGAACATGTTCATATTCATTTACGAATGACTTATCTAAGAATAAAGATAGATTTTAAAAACTCATCTGATAGTTTTGTATTCACATTGTCTATCTATAGAGGTTTAAGAATTGTGTTTCTCATTACGAAAACTTGGATAGACTAAGAGGGTCACGTTGCTCATGTATTCTTTCACAAAATCTTTAATTAATGTTTCATATATAAGATCACTCTCTAAAGATATTCAAATATCTTGAAAAAAATTCTTTTGTCTAGGAGTCAAAAGTGTGCCCTTTAGTATTTCATATTTGATCTAATAATTCCTAATGTGCAAACAGCCATGCCAGATCAATTCTTGGATCATACTATTGACCTTGATGATATTCCTTTCAATATCATCATTTGAATCTATTTAGTATTGCATCAATTCCACCATCAGTCTTATGACTCTTAGAATTTTTGTTTGTATCCTCATAGTGATGGAAATCCTCACGAAAATAGTTATGATTTCTATAACAAAATATGAGAAAAAGCTATGAATTCATGAGTCAACACAAGTCAAAAAAATAATTAAGACCCATCTCAATTATTCTTTTGTGATTTGACTTCTCAAAGTCAATCAAGGAGAACATAATTTTTTTAAAAAATTTTATTAAATTCTTTTAAGAATATTTTTAAGAAAAAAAAAAAGAGAATTTGAATGCTCTAGATAAAGCATTTGAATGCTTGCTTTCTATTTAAAAAAATTAATTTTCTTAAAATTTGCCTAAGACAATCGAATGCCCTATCTAGAATCCAAAAAATTTGATCTAATAATGGCAAAACATCAATGGCATTTCCTTTTTTTTATTCCAAGAATTATCTCAATAACATTAATTATACTAAGAACACAAAAATTATGTCAACTCGTATGGATGTTTGCAAGTATGTAAGAACATATTATCTTTTTGGTTATAAAGAACATATAAAACAAATTAAAACACAAGCCAACTTGACTCTAATACTAATGAGAGATAAATTCATAAAAAATATGTATAAAAATAATCATATAAGCTTACTTGTTTAGCGAAACTGAAAGCGAAAACCTGACTTGAATTACTAGTTATTAAACAAGATCACAGCTTGAAAGTTGTTCATTTCCACAGCATAAATCCTTCAACACATCGAAGCAAGAATTTCTTTTGAAAGTTGCACAATACCTACTCGAATTCTCTTTCTTTTTTTCTCAAATTTTTTTTTGTAATGTTAGAAATTTTTTCCTTTTTCTTTTTCTTGTTAATGGTCGAATACACTTAAGGAAGAGTTAGGTGGCATTTTCAACTTGTTTTGTAAACTGCCTAATTCAAATAAGAAAACTGCCTAATGGTAGTTGTTTCATGCAAAGATCAAGCCATCCATTATAAGCAAACCCAAATTCTTTACTCTTACAATATAAATATAGTATTTTTGTTAAATTAAAATATTAAATAAGAACTTTATTAATATAATACATATATAAATCTAAAATTAAATAAATAATTAAAATATAATTTAATATATATAGTGTCAAGGTAAGACGGAGTACCATAAACCTTTCTTTGAATCGATCTTAATTTTCAAGAAAAAACCTTGACTTGATCTGAAATAAAAAATAAATGTACCTATTGGATTTAGATGAACTAAAACCTATTGGATGCAGGTCATTTGCTATCCACACCTCCATTGACATTTTTTAAACAAAATTATTTATCGATTTCTTTTATTATAAATTATCTGATTAAAAAAAAAAAAAAAACTAAAAAGGTAAAAAACAAAAAACAAAACAGGGTGCCAAGTGTACATATACTTTGGTTTTTTACAAAAAAAAAAATTTATCTAATAAAAAGAAAAAAAAAGGAAAAAGAAAAGATGAAAAGAAAAAAAAATAAAAGGGGAAGAAAGTCGAATTGCCACATAACATTAACAATAATGAATTTTTCTTACAAAATTTATATCTTGGATTTATATATTTTGTTTTTATTTTAATTAACATTTTCCTTTTATGTTTAATAAATATTATATATATATATATATATATGTTTCTGTGTAAGGCCAATTCTAATTATTCAATTTAAAATATCATTTTCTAATATCTTTTTGTTATACTCTGAAACTAAAATTAAAAAAAAAAAGATCGAAAATAAAAAATCAAATTTAGATATCATGTACACACCTTCATTAATACATTTTTTTAATAAAATTATCGTATTATAAAAAAGAGAAAAAAATTTTTTTATCAATGATATAAAATTAGCGGCATACATAAAAATAAAAAATATGAAAAATATTTATTGAATATAAAAAAAATAAAACAATTGATAATGGGATTCATACCTAAACTTTATAATGAAATAAACTTTATAATTAAAATATTCAGTTGAATATTCTAACGACTGAAACAACCATTGTCGGCCTTATTCTGTTTAATCAGATTTGAAGATGGAAAACTAGACTAATCAACTTATGTTTCTTTGAAAAATAATAGTGGGAATTGAGTTTGCATCCATTTGCTAAGATCTTACCTGCCCCATACTACTTTGACTACCTTCCACTTTCATAAATCTTAGACATTGCATCAAGTTGGGTAAGCTAAAAATCCACAGCAGAAGTAATAAAACGACAGAAAATATTGGCTTCATATATAAATGGATTCATTAAATTATCAACTATACCAAATGCCTGGGATTCCATCAATCTTTATGTTTATAGGGATTAAACTTCTGTAAACAATTTCAGGGACCACATATTTTCATCAATTGAATTTTCAGACTTTTGAGAATCATTGACAATGCAATAGAGCCTGACCCATACCTTAATTTTTTATAATGATTTAAGGTATTGATAGTAGAATTGACAAAGAAATGGATATTGATTAATCCTTATGAGTATTTTGATATTTGCCATCTGATCATGATGCATATATCTTATTTTCAAATACTAGTTTAAATCCTTTTTTCTCAATAAGAGGATAAAAGTTTGTAGATCCTTTCCAAGTTTTGTTGGCATGAGTTGCTAATGCGCTAATTAAGCAGCACTAATTAAGCTGGATAAGAATTTGAAATTTAGTTCAGTCAGTTCATATAATCATTTTTATAAAATCACTTCCAGCAAATTTGAAATTCAAATTCTAACATTTGTAATTTATTTTTCTATTAAGTGGATGGATTACAATGATTAAGGAGCTTACATAAATTGACATTTCTGTATAGAAACTAAGTGATAGGGGGAAGAGGGAACCCAAATATATCACACAGCATATATAAGAGAAAGGCCCCCGAGGCACACACAGATACTAATTGTCCTAAAGAATACATGCTATTGTTCCTCGGCCCATGTGGAACTTAGCAGCTTCAGCAGTGTTCTTGCCTTTGTTTTGGTCCTAACACTACACTGGCTCTGTAGAAGCAACAGCAACTGTGTCAAAACTCCAGCTACTATTGCTTTTTCCCTTGCTTGAAATGATTCATGACACACCATCATTAATGAGTTAACAGCACTTTCACTCCCTTCATGATCCGATACCCTGAAAACCATCTTCACCACTGCTTTGATACCGTTCGGATTGTTTATGAGTTCCTCTTTTGCTCCCCCTATCCCTAGAAGTTGCTCTAGTCTTGCCATTGCTATTGCTGCCAAGCTTCTTTCCTTTCTTTCTGAGTTCAAAATATATGTTGTCAGACCCTTGACTAGGCCCTGTTGAACCAATGTTTCTCTGTTTGATTCCAAGCAACACAATGCTGAAATGGCTTTGATCCCAGCCTCAGATGTCTCAGAATTCTGCTGAACAAGAGAAATAATCTTATGTAAAAACCTTTGGTCTTTTCCAATCATTGCACCTACCTCCCTCGTTTCTGAGGATGATGAGATTGCCCCTACAAGATGACACAAGCTTTGCTTGATCATGACACTGCCATGCTCAAACAAAACTACAAAAGATTCCAACTTGGACTCTTCTTTAAGCATATTCAAACACTCTAATTCTCCAAAAGGCAGCAACGTAAGAACACAACAAAGTCCTTGCTCCACAAACTTCACATACTCTTGGGAGAATTCATGGTCTACTTTTTCGAAAAGTAGTTGCAAAAGTAAAGTCAAGAAACCTGTTTGGAGCAGAAAGGAATTTCTAGATGGTTTTTCATCCGTTAGGACTTGAATTTTTTCAAGTGTCTGAAGTTTTTCTTCGAAGGTAGCTTCAGGAGATTCGAGGTTTTGCTTCAGGGCGACTAAAGGATGGATTGTTGTCAAGTAATCAGGGTCAAATTGGTGGCCCATATCACGCCATAGTTCAATTAAATGACGAAGATTATGATTGGGAACAAGAGATGGATCATGGAGCTTTTGCATTGTAACAGGACATGTGAGATTACCTGCAGCAAACCATTTTTCTATGCTTGATCTGTCATAAGTTTGACCTGTACATAGAGTGACAGGATCTGTGAACAAGTCCAGGCTGATTGGGCATCTAAACAAATGAGGTATTGTCATTTGAACTTCTTTCATGGAATTAAGAAGAAAAAACCAAAAGCTTCAACAAGAAAGTTAATGGGAAAAAAAAAAAGAATGAATGAAAAATGAATTGATGGTATTTGTTCAATTGAGAATCTTCTGAAGTGGGTGCTGAAGAAATGGAATAAAGAATTTACAGAAAGGGTGTGGGAATTGATTTCTTTGCCCAATGCAAGATGGAGGGTATTAAAAGACAAATACCAAAAGGCACTTTGAATTAAAAAAAAATACTAAACAAAGTTACTGTGAAAGTTGCTTTTTTGAATTCAGATTCTATAGCCAAAAGTGCAGAAATGACGGGCCTGGGAAAGTGAAACTGAGCTATCAATATTCAGTACTATGAGAAGCACATATATAATTATAAAGGAAGAGAAAAAGAAAATTTGAGTAATAATAAACTGATGAAAAGATGAGTGGAAAGTTTCAGGAATTTCACTTCCAGTACTACCAGGATGGAAGAGTAGAAGACTCCTCGAAGTCTGCACTTCACAACAGTGACAGACAGTGCAATACTAAAAGAGGGTGGGAGGGATGGAGAAAGAGCAAATATGCAAGCTTAGTTGGAGGGATGAGTAGATAAAAACAGTAGGGGAGAGGACCAAAACAGGCCGTGTCCCAGTGAGAATGAAACTAATAATATAGAATAATCAAAACCAAAAATTTTAATTTAATCTATTCATGTAATATTTTTAAAAAGTAATATATGATAAATTTGAAATTTAAATTTTAATATTTATAATTTTTTTTATTCCAAACTATGTTCTCTTTGTAAAAAATAATATAGAATAATTGTGGGAGATGCTTCCCCAACTTTCCCTCCACTTTCCCCTTATCTACCAATGCAGTCAAACTGACCCACCTAGAAAGGAAAAATTAATTGTATGATGTCTTTGAAGTTGGAATGCACCAACATAAGTTGAATATTAAAATGTGGGCTACATCTACACATTTGGAATTGAAAGAGAAAGAGGAAATGACAGTCACAACACAAGGCACATGAAAGTGGCAATAATAAGTGAACTATTACTATTAACTATATCAATTGGGTGGAACCAAAAGGAGAAATAGAATAAAACGAGTTGATCATTCCTATGTGCATGTACAAATTTAATGTTATGGTCTCGAGTGAAGGTCTTGAATTTTATATGGACCTTATACTAGATATATAAATATTTAAATTATTTGCTATCAATGAAACACTTTTTTGAAAGAAAATCAAGAGGATCAATGTATCGAATAGGACAAAATCTTGCAATTTTGTTTGAATCATGACAAATTTTTTAAGAAAGAGTCATAATCTAAAAATAAAAAAAAATTAAAAGTGATGGGATTTAAATTTTAAATTTATTAAATATCATATTCATCTTGAGTGATTGTATAAATCTACTAAATTAATCATTACACTTAATCTATTGAATCATCGCAAAAATTTGATTACTTATATGCATAATATAATCACGGATAAGTTCAACTTGCTTCTTCTTGATGTTTTATTTAATTATGTTTTCAAGGTAATTTAATTATGATTGTAATCTCTTTTAATATATACGAATTTATTGAAAAAAATCCAACTGAATTTATTAAAATTTTATTTTTTTAACCAAAGTAAAATGTACTCATAATCCTTAACGTTTAATCAAAGATTCATTTTCTTAAGTAACTTCAGAATTGTTTCATTTTAATCCAAAATCATTACAATTTAGTTATTTTCGTTAAATAGTTTGGTTTAAAATTGATGGAAAGTTATGGGGACAATCACCGTTTTGACATCTGAATATTTTCATTTATTTTAAAGAAATTATTTAACAGTGATGAAAATTTGTTAAGAGATTATAGGTTTAAATGGAATAATTAAAAGATCAGGGATCGAAATAAAATTTTATTTAGAGGTTAAGGATTTATTGTACAATTTACCTTTTTAAGTTTTGATTAAAGTTAAGCAAGGGCTAAATTTTAGAGTTTGCTGCCAACAACTACATAATTTGGCTGTAGAGTATTGATTTTTTAGTTTCAGTATAATTATGATTCATTCATTGATAATCTCAAATATATATAATAAAAAAGTGAGAGCTTGCTTTATAAGTTTAAGTATTGTTTGATAAAATGAAAAATTAAGCACTAAAATAATTAAGTATTGAATTTTTAGTACTAAATTTTATAAACACTGAATTTAAATTAAAAAAATTATTTGATATTTTGCTGAAAATTAAGTGTAGAATATAAATAAATTGTTGGATAACTGTAAATGCTAAATTCAGAAAATTATTCATTTTATATTTTTTAACTTTTTTTCATTATATTTTATGCATTCCAAATAAAGTCAAATTCTTAATTACATATTTTGATTTGAAAATAAGTATGAAATATGTCATTAAATAGAACTATTAAATATAAAAATATTATATTGATCACCTTTATTATCAACATGCTTCAAGAAAGTATTCCCAATAGCTAATTTACGAATGTAGTTATGCAACGATATTCAAGTAACAACAAAGTAACAAAGTTTTGTGCACTGGAAATGGATATGATGACTTTCTCTTTAAAATTGGAAAACTGAGCTTTCGAACTCCAATAGTTTCGTTAATTAATGATCTTTCTGACTAGTTCAGCCAATATCAATAGAAGTTTTTCCTACACCCAAATGTTTTGGAAAAAAAAAAAAAGACAAATCAATATTTAAAATACATGTAAAAAAATTTTTAAAAATTTTTCAGTTGAAATTTTTTTAATACTGAAGGGACTAAATAGACATTAATTTATTTTTTAAAAAACATGCTGGTTATATGACAATGGCTGCCCAAAAATTTTGATATTTATAATAAGGGAGAAAAGTTCGGTGAGAAAATGTGAGAAGATAATTTTTTATGAATTTGTTGTTTGATATAGATAAATTTATTTGAATCGATTTAGAAAAAAATATATTGGATAAAATCTAAAAACCTCTTAACGCTTAATAAAAAACAGAAAATAGTTAAACTTTGTTTGGATTCAAGCAATAAGAACTTGAACAAATATTTGTTATCTATCATTCAAATTCCACCCTTATTATTTTGTAAGATAATTTGATTGTCTTAACAGTAAGAAAATAGCATAAAATAAAACATTCGAAACAACAAAATTTAATCTTTTATTATTATTATTATTAAAGAAACCACAAAGAGAAACAAAATTTGATTCAAACAAATATTTTTGCTTAATAGAAAAATCCCATGTCTTGAGAAGGACTTTTTGGAAGCAAAGGTTAAGTACAAAATTTCACTGGCTTCAACTTTGAAGCAAATTAAAGAAAAAGAAAGAGGCAAATCTTCTATCATTCTTTGATCTGCTCATGCTTTACATTTTATTCATCAAAACTTTTATTCCAAATGCCGGAAGTAGAAAAAACTTCAAAGCAAAGTTTTCCAATAATGTTTTACCACAAATTGTTTTCATTATACAATGGAAGTTCTAGTATTTGCTTCCTAGAATTGTTTTTTCTAAATTTTTGTAAAAAAATAATATTAAAAGAGAATTAAGCATGTTAATATGAATTAACATTATAAATATTTATACATAATTATGGAACTATAATAGATTATATATCATAGTATATATTTACACATAACATTAATATAGTATTTGTTGGTAACGAGCTTTGATGTAAAGGTACTCTTGGAAGGATAAAAAAGGGAAGAGAGTGATTAGGTGTAAAGGTAGGAGTGTTCCTTATGTTTGTACTCTGATGCATAATTCAAATATCAAAATGAAAAAGGTCATAAAGAGAGAAGAGTAAAGGGTGGAGACAAGATGGAACCTATGATAATATGCCTAAATGTTTATATTTATAGATGAGTGATAGGGGGTTAATGGGGGACAACAATGACATGACTGAGCTAATTTAACACTAAACGTATTAGATCAGCTTAAATGTCTAAAAGGCCCCTAGTTGTCTACTAGGAGCTTTTAATGAGAAAAAAGACCATCATGCCCTTTGGACTACTAAATACCTCTAATATTCTATCCTCTCATCAAGTAGCCTAAGTATCATATTGTTGGGTATATGGTTAATTCATTTCACACAAGATGGCTAGCTTAAAATGGACCATAAGGAATCCGATCTCCTATGGCCAAGGTTGGCTTAGAGGCCAGTATCCAAGGACTATTTATTGTTTACTTTGACTTAAGGTGCCCTAATGTCTGTCAACCATATATGAGTTTGATCTTGCACATGTGCTTTGAGTTAAATGTATGGCTGGTTTGAAAGTTGCTGAGGTGTTTTTTTATTTGGGATGATCAAGGTTAAGATGAGAGGTTTGGAAAGGTTGAGGAGTTTATCTAGTCAATGTGAGACTTAAACATTTTTTCAAGAGTTTGAAATTGAATCCTTGTTTAAACTCTAGTGACAAATTGATTGTCAGTTCACCAAACTAATTCAACTTGGGAACCCGTTCGGTCTAGTCAGTCTAATCGGGTTAAGTGGTTGAGGTCACATTAAATGAGGAGAGAGATAGTTTGGGCCATAAAATTCAAAATGAGAAAGGTAAAAAGACACTATCCAACGATGCTCTAACACATGGCACAATCTAGGCCATTCATCTAATCTGAGGCGTAGCCATATAAAAGGTTATGGAGGCTTTCATTTTTTATCTTTTTACTTTTTGCTTTCCATCAAACTTAAATTTTTTTATCTCAAAAGCTTTTTGTCTCTTTCGACCTTATAGTTATCTTTTTTTCATTCATTTTCTCCATTTTCCTCGATACGTGCTTTCTTCAACATGTCTTTTAGCTGTAGTTTTAGGAAAATCAAAGTTTCAGGGTAGAGATTAAGGGAGACTGACTCAATCAAGATGAAGACAATCTGATCCCACCAACCATCAAGGGTTGGGACTACCGTAAAATGGCTTATTGGCTCAACTTGATATCCAAAGTAGTGTAGCAGTAAGTTACTAAGAATGCTTATGCAAGAAGAGAACAAGTGTTGAACATAGAAGAGCTATGTGCTTAGAAGATTTTGATTTGAAAAATTCACCTTCTTTCTCTGTCTCAGATTTATCCATCTTCTACAACCAAGCTTCCCTTATCTTTGGCTATTCCCCTTTTTAGGGTTTAGTCTCATCAACCTTCTTCTTATTATACTCTCTTACCCATAAATGTTCCCATCATTTCTTTTATTCCTTTTCGATCAACTCTGTTAACATCACTTCTTCTCCCAATAAGTTTCTTTATCATTTCTTTTCTTCTAGGCTCATAGTGCTTTTTATCATTGCTCTAACTTAAAATTTTGCTCCTATTCAAGAGTTTGAGTCTTTTAATGATGAAAGCTCCAACGACGATGAGGGTTCTGATAAAAAACAAGATAAGA